ATCCCCTATTTGTGTGATCGCGTTGAATAAGTTGTTGTGAAATGAACGCCGGTCTATTTGACAGCTCGAGCTATTTAGCATCAGCCAAGTGTTTGTTATTATTTATTTTCGAGGACGTCGTTCACCGCCTCGAACCCGCTGAGCCGCTTCCGTACTCACAATGTACTCCCGAACTTGGCTGTGGAAATTCTGCTCCCTGATAGTAACATCGTCTGCTTCCATTCTTCATATTGCAAATCCAGACTCCACTACATAGTCGCTCAAGGTGCGCCCTCTTCCTTCCTCCGAGCCGGATCGTGACTGGTTAAAAAAACGCTTTACGTCGGAGGAGTAGAAAGCCCGCTTCGAGGTGAGAGAAGAAAAAAAAACGATTCCAAAATATTTGACGTCATCATTAGGCGCCCATCGCGCTGGTTACACCGGAAGCACAATGACACGTCATCCGGGTCATATCCGTATACATCCATGGAGCCACATGTGTACGGATTCTCTTTTTCTTAATCGGTATATTTTTGTTATTCTTTTTATTTTTGTCTTCCTAATATTTGACAAAAAGCTGCTAGCATATTAGCATCTGCTCCGTTTTTTAACGTGGTATTTTGAACAAGTTTAGTGAGTCGAATGTAAACAGTGCGCTGCTGCTATGAAAGGCAAACGGAAGGGAAAGCAGAAGGGCAACGCCGTGTTGCAGAAGTACATGGTGGCGGTGGGCGAGTTCGTCAAGAACAAAAGTGGCGCCGAGGGAGCAGAGGATGACGCCGGTTTGAGGTCGGTCAAACGGAAAAGCAGAAAGGAACTCCGCAAGGAGAAGCGAAAATTGAAGAAAATCCGAATGAAAAGTCACTACGAAGGTAAAAAGAAAAATCTGCCCAGCGGCGATGGTGAACAGGCTGTAATACCTAAAAAACAGAAGGCAACAGGTGGCAACAAGAAGGACGAGGTAAAAAAAGTGCCAAAAACTAATACAAAGAAACAAGAAAAGCCCAAAGTGGCACCGACGAAAACCAACAGGTACCAAGAGTCGAGGAAAAAGGCGCTTTTAGAGGCCAATGAACAAGAGGACCGAGAAATAAAGAAACTAGAGCGCTACTTGAAATTAAACAAGAGGAAAAACAAGAAAAGCATACCTCAGTCATTTGTGGCTGATGGACTGGACTATATCCTGGGTGCTCTTGACACCGGCACTTTGACCACGGGAATGTACGACAGCGATGACAACATGGACCTGGCCAAGGACAACTTTAAACAGCTGGAGGTGGACGACTTAGAGGAGGACGAAAAGGACCTCGCAAGTGATGGCGAAGATTTAACTGATGATGAGGGTGAAGTAGTGGAGGAGGAGGAGGAGGATGAATTACCAAGTGAAGATGATGAATCGATGGATGCCGAACTGGAGGACGAGAATGACATAAATGAGAATGAGGAAAGCGAAGAAGTTACAGAGCACGTTCCCACCCCTGTGAGTTCACAATTGTTACTGTCCACGGCATTTTGTGGGGGTTTATTTAATTTTTTTGTGTTGTGGTTAATTTTTGCATGTGTGCGGTAGCTTTTGGCTCCTCCCCAACTCCCACACTTGTTAGACCCTTCCCGAGTTGCCGTCAGGTGGTCTGGTCGTAACAACAGTACATGTTCAATCCTCATCACATCACAACTCATCCATGTCATGTATTGAAGGCTCATTTTAAATGCTAAATTTCTGTTCTTTAGGCGGCGGGCAAGTATGTGCCTCCTCACATGCGCGATGCTGGTGGCGAACAACGCAAAGCTGAGTTGGAGAAACTGAAGAAGAATGTGAAGGGCCTCGTCAACAGGTAACAACTGATTATTTACTCGTGCGACTCGAGGGCTGAAGTCAGGAATATCTGCACTTCTGGGCTATTCCTTCAATTTCACTCCACTGTGGGTGAATATCGCCAGTCTTTGGCAATGCCTAACGAAGAGAACTGAAAATGTTGCGTCGCCTATCTATGTAGTGCAGTGAACTCCTACTATTCGCAGGGGATAGGGACTGCGCCTTGCCGCAAATGGCGCGAATCTGCAAGTTCATACCAAAACCCCGACAGTACTTTGTAATTTTTCTTTATCCAGGCTGAGCGAGCCCAACATGTCGTCCATCGGCGGTCAGCTGGAGGCCCTCTACATGAGCCGCAGCAGGAAGGACATGAACGAGACCCTGACAGAGGTGCTGCTGGCCGCCTGCGTCACGCCGGCACTGATGCCCAACCGGCTGCTGATGGAGCACGTCCTCCTGGTCAGCATCCTCCATCACACCGTGGGCTTGGAGGTAATGATGAAACGTTCTTCTTGTCCTATGATTGTTAAATTCCACACTGGATGGATGGGCAGGCATTCCAGAGACAAAATTATTGATACAATTACATCTGAACTGGTTTGCTCCTTTTTAAAAGTGGTGGACACTCAGCTGAAATCTTTTTCGGCTGAATATAACGTCATGGAGGTTTTCCAGTTAGGTTTTAAGATGAGACGTAGTTTTTAATGACAACCTCTTGGCTAATGACACTGGGGACTCTCATATGGTGTTCCACAAGGTTCCTTTTTGGGGCCCCTGCTTTTTTCATAGTATTTGCTGCCCCCTGCTTCCTTCTGAAGAAAACGTGATATTTCCTGTCACTGCTTTGCAAAGTCAGTCAGATCCATGTCACACTTAGCCAAAAAGAATACTTTCTCTTTAAGGCCACTTGTGTCCTGTCTGGAGGAAGCTTGTGGAGGCTCTCAGTCGTACAGGAAAGTTCCATCGTAGAAAGGGTTCTGTCAGTCGTCATCTGTACCTGTGGGTAAAAAACAAAAAA